ATCGACGGCTGTTTCCCAACGGACCGAACATAAATACCTACACGTACTCAGCGGAGCGTGACATCACGTTTTTAGCTCAGTTAAGTGGCTTTTAGATAACGAGTCATCCCCCCCCACACACCCCATCCCCGAGAATGCAAAGATTAGATAAAATATGGAAGAAGAAGAGCTGTGACTTCCAGCCGTTTGTTTGCACACACGAGCGTAAAGTTTAACACCACCGTTTCAGTCATTTGGGTACATTAATTAGTCATGCAGGAAGTATGCAAAAACGAGACTAAGCAACAATTCATACCCAAAAAAAAAAAAAAAAAAAAGGCAGATATCTAGGAGACAGCAATCATCTTACTCACAGTCTGCTGTACCCACCCACCACTCCAGAGCAGCACTTCAGCAGGACAGTGCCAAATCCTCCCTCGCTCCTTATTTCTGGATCCTCAAAGCACTGCTGCTAGCAGCTTTCTTCCCTTAAAAATAAAAAAAAATAAAAAATAAAGAAAATTCACACAATAATATAGATTAGAACATATCTCTGCATTATGTCTGTGATCCAATGCCCTCACAAAGCTGGTCCAATTTAGACCTTATTGTTTATTAGGGTCTTGCCCTATCAAAACTGGAATACTTCCATAAAAGGCAGATCCCAAACCCCATAGAAGTCTCTGCCTCCTATTCCTCCTCTCTGAGGGTACCTCCCCTGTTGTAGCTTGGGTCTGGCACCTCTCCTCCTACCCCAGGGCAGCTCCCATGGGTGGGATGTTGTACCTGATGGGGACCTCCCATGGGTACCTCGGGTCTGGCACCTCTCATCCTACGCCTGATGGGGACCTCCCATGGGTACCTCGGGTTTGGCACCTCTCATCCTACCCCAGAATCACAGAATCTTCAAGGTTGGAAGGGACCTTCAAGATCATCTTGTCCAACCATCAACCTAACTGACAAAAACAGACACCCACACAACAAACAAGGAGCGTCATCACTAAACCAGACCTCCCAGCACTACATCAACCCGTCTTTTGAACACCTCCAGGGATGGGGCCTCAACCACCTCCCTGGGCAGCCCATTCCAAGGCCTGAGAACCCTTTCAGTGAAAAAATTGTTCCTAATATCCAGCCTGAACCTCCCCTGGCGTAACTTGAGGCCATTTCCTCTGGTCCTGTCG